TCTAGCCACTCAATGTTGCTAATTCAGTAGTCTTTCAACGAATAAACGAGCACAATCTACGAAGCTCATAAAAGACTTTAGTTATTGGCATAATACACAATACACAACGACGCATATTCAGCAATAAGAAGCAGATTTATTATACTTATTCTACTGCAATGAAATTCTGATTTTCCGCAGATCATAAATCTTCTCGCCTCCTTTCCTGTCGCTAAGGCTCATTTTTCGAGCAGCGAAGCAATTGAACGAACCAGCTCTATTCCTACGAGACGAGATCGCGTATTCGCGCCAGTGGATCATTAAGCAGTAGTACTTACTTTCGAAAATTTATACAGTTAAATATCGTTTTCGATCTTTTGCCAGAAAATTTCAAGTTTCAACACGGTTGAGATTAAATGCACGTTTTTTAATACTTTGTGTATATAGCTATAGAGGATCCTTAAAACCCTAAAATAAAAAAATCTCACACCCAAGCTTATGGACTCTTAGTGTTCACAAGCGATCGCTAAATTATTAGCGCCCTTGTTGAAAAAGTAGGCCGCACCGTTGTAGAAGTGTTGTTAAAAATTGATCAACGTAATAAAAAGAAATAGCGTCGTTTTTTGTTTTCGAAGATAAGAGCGTGGGAAAATCCTTATTGAACTAACTAGATGCAAAGGGATTCCAACAGGTGAGGGTGGTATACTAACTTGTTCTATTTCTCACTTTTTTGTTAAAGAACATGATAAGATATTATCTGTGGAACAACTTCATCAATATTGTGAGAACACGTCCTCAGCTACAAAACGCCTGTGTTGTAATGTTGCTAAGAAGAATCACGTTTTGCTTTTTCTTTTCTTTTTTACTTGATCCGATAACAAATATCGTTCCGACCCTGGCGCTTCATTCACTCGATTCGCTTCCTCGTTTCCATCGTTTCTACGAAGAGAGTTTTCATCCATTTGCTGCTCATTGTCGTTTCCTTTCTCCTTTCGGTTTTGCACATACATGGAAAAGGTGGTAATCAGTAAGTCGAGAAATCCACCGGAAAAAATCCAAAATTTCCTTCATATATAAATACAATAATAGACAAGTTAAAAAGTTGTTCCCACTGTAAACTTTTTACTAACCTCTATATTGGATTATAAAATGTGAAAAGTTGTATCATCACGTTCAAAATTTTCTTTTACAGATCAGACTCGGGGTTTCACTTTTCTGGCTTTTTTCTGACCTCATTAGAGTTCCAATTTTTCATCTAGTGGGCGGGCGTTGTGTTCTTTTGCATCGTCATCAAACCCGACAGCGAACTCGTCCATCATTACGAGTTGTTTCCTCTTTGAGTAGTTCCTATGTTCAAGAAATTTCAGAGAAAAAAAAACACATAGCAAAAAATCACAGAGGCTATTGCCCTTGTTGTTCAAAATGAAGTAGAAATGGAGGCATGTTTTATTGCCTTAGCTTTTGGAATTTATCGTAGTTAGAACTAAATCCTATAATTAAAACCTGCACAAATAACTGCATAATCGTTCAATTTGCAAAACTGTGAAATTTCTTTTGCATACAGAAATTACTGTTTTAGACAGAAACAGCTTTAAAAAATTTTCATGGTGTCATTTTGCTTCCTATTTTTATTTTGCAATTTCTTCTTCATTACAAGCCCCGGCACCACACATTACACAGTATGGATCGCAACACATCTTGCATTCCATTCCTTTGCTGGAATCCAACATCGACTAAGAACGAAGGTCTTCTCCTTTTTTTGCGAATGGAGTCGGCAACTTTTTGAGCAATTTTTTTGTCTTCTTAGGAAATATCGTTAAATGCTGGTAATGTCGATTCTCTTTTGAATGTTGGAATGGCCGTGTTAGGACGTCGCTACGTGAATTAGAGGGAATGAGCATGACCCAGATCGATCTGGTACCAATTTCCTGACACCAAAGGAATTAGAAGCTTTATGAATCTGAAGCGATGATGAACTAATGGCTTGGTATGTTGGAGCATCCTCATTCCTAAAGGAAACACAATGCTCCACTGTCTGCATCAATAGCGAAACCATTTAATTTACTTATTTTATGTATGCGCTACTCCATCACGTACTTTATGAACTCCAGCAATTCTTTTGTTTGGTTAGTTATCACATCCACAAATAACTGTGCGCTCCTTTGTCATATGGTGTCATATTTTCGTTTATAACTGTCGTTGAATACTTGGATCGAGTTGACTCTTTCCTTGAACACTATTAGAAGCTACTAGAACGTTCCCAAAACGAAAGACCGTCTTTGTAGACCAAACGAATCTTTTTCCAGGATTGTGGGTTTTGCTTGTCTGACACGAGGTCACACCAGCCACCATACGTCCATTGCATGGCGTCTTTAACCACTATGTTTCCTTATGTTTAATGACTTCAAAAAAAAAGAACAAAAGTAACAGGCAAAAAAACGTCAGTGATAAATCTTTTTGAAAAAAACAGAAGCATAGAGGTCGCGAGTATAAAATTTTGCTTCATCTTCAGTGGTAACTTGTAATAATGCGCTAGTGCAGTGCTGTTGTCGTCGTTCATCACAAAGCGCATTACAGTGAAATTAATGAGATTGCGCAATTTTTAAGGATTTCATCGGATGCAGTCAGTTTTGTCATTATTGCTGCTCTCAGTTGAACAGCGATGAATGCTACAAGTACTTCAAAACTTATGAATACTTGAATATATACGTATGCTTACATATACAGAAATTTCAATATTAAACACTAAAAATACCAGCCAATGAGTAGAACGCGTAAGGCTCTTGCCATGTTAGAGTTGATGCCACTATGATTACTGTAGGAATCTCATGAATGAAGAACCATTTTACGGTTTACGTAGAGATTATGAAACTCTCCCTTATTTCGATCACTAACACTATATACTAGATACCTACTTGATACTCGAGTGGCCCGTCCTCACTGGCTGTGCGGGCCCCAGCATAATCTCCGCCTTTCAGAGACTTACTGGTTAAGCCATTATGGTTTCCTGGTGTCCCGAGGTCGGCCTGGCCAAAATCTGTCTCAGGTCATCACCACCAAGAGCAGTCGCAGCCCTTGTGGAACAGAGAGTGATTTACCACCATGCGACTTTGTTACCAGGACGATGGTAGATTCTGGTATTGGTTTAATTCCTAGGTAGGTTTCCTGATGGAAACGTCGACCTCCTTCTCAGCTTGGTAGACCCTGCCAGGAGATGAATCCCCCGCTGTACATCGCAGTCCGCCACCCAGGAACACCTCCCAGCTACGAAGAGGCGGTAAACAGTTGGGGGGAATAACACTATATATATCGCTTAAATGTGTATGAACGATGAATTATTATTGAAATTTTAGTTTCTTTTCGTAGGATTCTATCTAATGGCTTTTCATTTCATTTTCCCACATCCTATTGTTATAGTACGAAAAATAAAGTAACTTATTCACTAGTCCGATAGTGTGAAATGGAAAGATGCACGTTTGAAAAGATCTTAGTGGAAAGCACAGCGAGAAAGAACTGAAACAATTTGTGCAGTTTGTTGTAATCGATCATTTGAGGCATTTTTGAAAGGCTTAGTTCCAGTTTGCACTGCTTTCCTGAAAATGTTCGTAGTGATTTTCTTTGTTACAGTATTACCAATTTTTAACCCTGTGTGAATATGAACAACGAATCAGGTTAGTTTATCAGAATTTAGTTCAGTTCGCAGCTTTTTTTGCGAGTTTCATAGCGCAGAAGTAAGAAAATATGAAAATGCAAACATAGTTGTATATACATGAAATACGGGTTGATTGACAGACTTTGACAGGTATATCTTGGATCCATATGGTTCTTTTTTAAATGCCATTTCACTGCTCGTTTTTGAATCCCAGATATATTGTGGAGAGGGCTTATAATCGTATTGTCATCTTTTTCCAATACATTCGGCTCCTGCTATTTTTTCCGTAAGTTGATATCTTTAGTAATTATCTTTTGTCATCTACTCTTTCTGTGAAAGTAGGCAACGGATAAGTCTTCATATCATCTGTTTGTCAGCGTGTTCTTAGAAGCGTTTAACAAATAATGATGTCGGTTGTTCCTAATGGGGTCTCGTGCTCAGGTCTTCAAGCATTTTAATGAATGTGTGGGGTGATTTGAACCAACGGAGTCATATTCGTAACGTTATGACATCCCAACTTTCTTCTGCCTCGTCCATAATCTCCCATCATCTCTTTCTTTTTTTAAATATTGCTGTGCCTTCAAACCTGTATTCGCTAAAACATTTTGAAATTTTTATATAAATTTGATTTAAATTAGATTTTTATCTGTCGTGAGCATACGGTGTCGCTTGCCAAAGAATACAGTAGGCTGCCATTGATACTGTAGTGTTTAGGGACGATGATATTTCGACTTTTCGCTTCGGTTATCGTGATGTTCATTCTTATCACAACATCATTTGCCGAAATTGAAAAAAATATGGTGAGACTAACTTTACTGGCCCAATTATAGTAGTACTACAAAGGATTTTTATATGAAAAGAGTGCATTCAGGGGATGACGCCGCTTCGATACACATTCTATCCAGATATCAACGCTTATGCACCTCAGCAGTTTAGTCAAGTACGACTAGTAAGTTTGCAAACTATCCAAAGAAACTTATGAAAATTGAATAATACTGTTATCGCAATGTAAAGTATTGAAATAAATAAAAGGTCTAATAAACGTTAAAAGACGCATTAATCTCCTTAGCAGTTTCTTATGTCTTTACGGCTTTTTATTCAAAATTGAAAGAAAAAGTCACTTACTACGCAAACCTTTTACGAATGAGCAAAATTATTTGAATTATTACATAAATTGGGAGCGCGTGGAGCAGTGGTCGGAGGTGCCCTGCAACACGCACAGAAATGATCCCTCGCCCATGGCCTACCAAACCTTCCATCTCACCGGAGTTGGCAAATTGGTACCAGACTTGTCTGGGAGGTTAGCAGCACTGGCTCCATACATCGGTAAGCCATCGCGAGTTATTGTGAAGGCCAGACACTCCAAACGATGCTTAATGAAGCCGAATGCATGGCGCATCCCTCAAGGATTGGTCAGCGCCGACAGCTCTATCCTTATCCTTTATCACATAAGTTATATTTCCGCTTTCTTAATAGTACAGTTACTGCTACTGCTATGGTTATTACTAGATTTTTTTGTCAGAAAAATTTTAACTGTTGAAAATCTTTTAATCTTTGCATTGCAAAATCGGTAATGGCTAGAGTTTGCCCGAACAATATTACTGCAACCCAAACTTCCGAAAAAATTTTGATGAAACAAACTTTAAGAAGAAAAGGTTTGTGAAATATTTTTAATAGTTTAAAGGGAAGAGGACACACGATGTCGGCTAAGCAGTTGAATTTAAAATCGTTCACTTATTTCTTCTTACTAAATCGCTAAAATTAACACTATTTCTTTACCAGGAAGTACACTGGTTGTTAGAATCACATTGGATAATAACCAACTACAACAAAGTAATCATTTTTTTTTGTTTTTTCTGTCACTAAAGAAATTGACACGTTTCGTTTCCGGTTTCGAAGCGCAACAACGCTGAGATGATAAATCACATTCTGAAGCACTACGGAACACTGAATCAACTTGGTGATGTGGGAAAGTAGATTATTGTTGAATAACTGAATAAATATAGTTTTGAATATCCTCAACAACGCGTTTTATCTTTTTCTGCTTTTCTTCCCTTCTTCTTCTTCTTCCTATTTTTTTATTTAGTAATATCGAATGAACTGAATAGACAGCATGGCGAGTGACTAGGATTGACATCATTACATGGTAATGTGTTTGTAAATAATACAAATCTTCACCATTGTTCTCACAACAGTTAGTATTAGTAATATTATTAGCAACTACTGTACAACCACTTTAAGATACCGTTCAGAATAAAAACGAGTTATACAAATATTCCATTTAGTTTAGTTACCAGAAAACATTTGACAAGCAATAGGAAAACGCTGGCGACTGTGTTAAACCAATGATGAATGAGCCATGGATTCGACATCATAAAAGATTCTTACAGGTGATTTAACACATATATGCTTTTTCGACGACTTTCGATTGCCTGCCTATAAATTAAGTCAATGCTGCTCTCCTACTAGACCTTCTAAACACTAGATCCTGCTGGCAATGTGCCGAAAGCGAAGGCCCGGAAAGCTTGAATGAGAGCCAGCAGAACCAATTTATTCCAAGGCACCTGTAACCACTGCACTACATTCGCTCGTAGGCAGCGTATAATAAAAAACAGCGATTGTTCATTACGTTGAACCGCAATTTCGTACAGCGAATAACGAAGAAAGCTGTACATTTCACTTACTGAAGTATGTAGATTCGCGTGCGAACCATTTTCACATGTCCTGTTGGTTTCAGCAATTTTTCCATTCTTTTCGCCTGCTTTCAACCACAACCCAAAAAAGTTATCACGTTAATCAGTTGATAGATAGATTCTTTTACATCTTGAGGGTCTGTGGACTCTTTTAGTCAACTGCATTCTGAGTTCCAGTCGACCTTAACTTTTTCTGAAAACTCGACATAGCCATGCCAGAGGTTTTCGATTCGTTTCCACAAACAGTTGCCAGTTTTGTGGATGTGAGTGATGTCTGCTAATTTGCGACTCACATTTTCCAGGATGACAGATGATAAGTGCAGAAATGAAAATAAAATTTTTTTGTGTGTTCATTTCTGACTCCATGGAACTCACAAATATAGCACATGTATTGATATAAGATATTCGACATACACAACATGCAAAAACGAAAGGATATAAATATCTGAAGTCAGTTAGCACCTCTCTACGTTATGGTCGCAAAGGAAGTGATGGTATCTGTCCTATGTCGCCATACGGACAAGTTGCAATATAAAAAACCACTTTTTTTTAAAAGGACTTAAAGTGATAATTAATTGTCACGAACCTTGTTACACCTGCTCATTTTTTGCTTCGTGCTATAAAAAAATACATGAATTACAGCTAGGTGATAGAACATGTTCTTTGCAGTCCTCCTTATTTAAAGAGTGAACAGCTTATGTTTATTAAAACCCCCAAAAAATCCTTTTTGAGATAGAAGGACGGTTAGAACAAACGCTTGTGAAGTTGCAAAGTCTGCATAATGAAAAAAGAAAAAGCTTTCAGCGTTGATCAGTCCCTGAAAGATACGCCATGCATTCGACTTCGTCAGTCATTGTCAGAGGTGATTGAATACATACCCTATACAATGATTTAAGATGGCCTACTGATGAATTTGGTCGACCTGTGCTGTTGCCCTCTCAGACAAGCCTGATTCCAGTTTGTAGACATAGGAATGATGGAAAGCATTTTGTGCCCGGAGCGTGGGATCAAACAAAAACTTGTTCCGTGTTGTAGGACACCTGTAACCACTGCGTTACACATTTCCAAAACCCTACACAACAGTTACTAGAAGGTATTTGACCAGGGCGTGTGTTGGCTAGTGGTTAGAAGTCTACCGCAGTGCACATGTAGTTTGATCCTGTTCCCCCATAAAACCAAGTTTACAAGGTCGGAAAAATTGTGCTAGAGTAGTCTGCGAGGATAAAAATTATTGTTTCATTACATCCAAAACGACAGAAATTTATTGCATTGTCAATATATGGGTTAAATAAGCTTTTCAATGGTCATTGAAATTAAAAGCATGATGCTTCACTAGGAGAGGAAAGGACGCCGAGCGCTTACTCTCTCATCTTTTGTTTTTTATTTCTGATAGCTGTATATTTTGTAATTGTTTTGCTATCTACTTTCGGATATAAGTAGAAGGAATGTTTTTTTTTGAGTTTACTCACAAGCATAATGATCTACGTTGTTATGTAATGCATGTAATGTGATGAATTACGCAGCGCTCAGTATTCACGTGTAAGTTCATTACTTCATTATCTATAGCTATGAATATCTGAATGATCTAAAGTTTGTAAAGCTGTGGTCGATTTGGTTCATTGTCGTCCATCACCTTATTATAGTGAGGCGAGGATTCAACAACACAGTTGTGCCCCTCAATTTGCGGATGAGTTAGACTCTTCAGTTCAGATGACAAGCTAGTCGTTTGGGAAGCAGAGTTATCCCAAGGCATAAGATCTCCTTTCGATCCACAACCGCCGGCCTACTATCAGTATTGACGAGTTCTGAAAGTTTTAGCAAACCTGACTCGACGCTCTTGCGTTTTGGTCAACTAGGGAATTAAACTATTTATATGTCCAGGTATAAAACGTTAAACACGATTGAAACACTCCTATCCTCTTAAAAGGATTTTGGTTTATTCTTATTGTTGTGTATTAAGTGCCAAGAATATTTATCCTCAGAAACCTCCCTCAGAACCACTATTCATTAACATCGGTTTCTACTTCCTTCCGTTAACATTGTCATTCTCGGTAATCGCAAAATTTCTTACAAAATGGTGATATTCGTAGTAGTAATTAATATAGAAAAATCACTTCACCAGCTCGTCCTTGCACCAATATTGGTGGAAAATTGTGCTCGAACAAATCTATAGAAGAAATAGTAAAAAAGACTTTATTTGAAGATATAACTTTTACAGTAGATAACGCTATTACATGGCAAAATCTAATACATTTTCAAGCTGTGCTATTCACATTCACGGAGTAAACATTCTTCACTTTGCACGTTTCATCGGGCCAACCTAATAACTACGAAATTGTATTAAACTAACTAAAGACCGTATAAAACAACAGCTAGAAAGACTAAATTACAAAAACAAAGAGACGAGAAGATGATATATGACACTACAGTGAGCTTAAATGTCCTGAATAGAGGCCTGATTTGGAGGCGGAAGTAGACGTTGATGACACATGTGTCAGGTCTGGGCAAACATTCACCACTGAGAGCTAAGAGTCTGACGATATTCTGAGGCACTTAACTCCTCAATTGCACCCCGCTACCTTCTAGACGACGACCACAAAACGATGCGTACAGTTTTAGTATCAATACCTATAATCATCGGCATCAGTTCGCTTCATCAATCATATTCAAGCAGAAATGGACGAGTTACCATGCTTTCTGAGGTGATCTCTTAGCAAGTAAATTATAAATCCAGCAATAAAATGTGTCAGTTGGAAAAGGCTTCATTAGTCAATTTTCATAGCAGCTCAATTTGAACAACACCTCCATTGACATCTATTTTCGATTTCCGCGCTGACCAATCTTTTGATGAAAGAAGTGCATTATAATATTTACGCCATTTAAATAAGTAAACATCTGATACTACAAAAGCGATCTATGGAACAACGTAAAACTTTCTTCTGCCTAGTTTTCACACGTCTGCCTTCAGAATTTTTAAAAATAGCTAAATTCTTTTAAATTTTTTTTTTTACTACGAAAGCTAATGACGTAGAATAGAATATGGCAGGCTGAAACACAAGAGCACATGAATATCAATGTTTTTTGAATATGTTCAATGAAAGTTTTCAGGTAGAAAGAAATTTTCTGGAAATTTTAATGACTGGTAGACAAAAGTATTCCAAGTTGACAGAAATACCCGTAATGGCTAGAAAAACAACTTTGATAAAAGGGAAATGAAATAGTTAATTATATGTCCAAATCAAAAATATTTACTTCGTCACGTACCGAATTATTACCGGGGCTATTACACTTTGTTTTGTGAAAGAAAAATAAGTATCAAAGTAGAGTCGGCCATGAGCTGCCTGACAAAGCTCTTCACAGAAAATAGAAAATAATAAATTAGAAGGATTGTAGTTTCAGTTCAAGAAAGAAGCTGTAAGCAATAATTTCATTGAAAGAATTGAATTTATAAAATTGTACTTTTAGTCTGCATCGGATCCAGCTGACTATTTGTATTGCAATGTTGGCAGGATTTTTTCAAAAGTCCGATTCCCTTCACTCATTTGAAAATTTTAAACTTTAGATCAGAAATATTTTTTAAGCACAGAGAAAAAAGTTCGAGCATAAATTCCGATATTGATGTTGTTCGTAACATCGGCAGGGTACGGTAGCGTCATGGGTGGCTCCATTCAGATAACAGTGCCTTCAAATAAAACATTTATTTTCCAATATGACCTATATTCCCATTTAATTATATTAGTTGAAGCTCCACTACACCATACGTAGCCAATAAACTTATACATGTAGGTAATACCAGAAAAAACTGCATAGCTAAAAAAATCTAGTTGTAAATTGCGGTGCCAAAGATATGTAGTAATTGGCTTTTATAGTTGAACAACGGTTCGAATTCGACAGTGGTTATACCGGACACTTCGCTTCCACTACTTACAGAATGTGGGTGGTACGAGCAGAAGAAACTACATCAATGTACTAACATGTTCTATAGCAGTGGTATTGTCAACGATGTCAACATCACTTGGATGGACATATTGGAAAGTACTGAACATTTCAATGAGATGTGCGAGTGAGTCTGGACACGTTAGTTTAGTAGAGAACAGAACAACCATCGCATCATACATAGTAGTTAATGTGGTTCAAAACTCTACACTTTTCTATGCGATTGATCTGACAGGAGATTGGTATAAAAAAAACTTCCATTTGATTAATGTTTCAGCGTTTTACTTTAAAACTAGCTCTCTCATCAAGCTATGAATAGTTTGGAAAGCCTTTCTGATTTCTTTTCCTACATTTCCTTTTTCGCTTGAAATTGGGAATATCCAGTTTTATCAATGCCATTCGGTGGACATATATATATATATATATATATATATATATATATATATATGTATATATATATATAACAATATTTTTATCGCTACTTTTTTAGTTAGAAGTGAAATTGAAGACTGTGTCTCCTATAAGTTTTCTGGATTGTCTCTTTAACAAATGAGTCAAAAGCTAAAAAAACTAACAAACTTTGCCACTAGGTAAACATTTATTTTAAACATATATAAAAGGATAAAGGATAAAGCTCTAGGCCTTCATCAATCCTTGAGGGATGCGCCATGCAGTCAATTTCATTATGCATCGTTTTAAGGTAAGTGGAAGCATGTATGGCCTTTACAATGACTCGTGGTGGCTCACCTGTATCAAGTCATTACTGCTATCCTCCCAGACAAGTCCGGTACCAATTTGCCGACCTAGGAGGAATGGAAGGCATGGTGGACAGGGGTGCGAGGATCGATTCCATGTGTGTGTTGCAGGGTGCCACCGACCATTGAGCCACTTGCGCTTTTATATATATATATATATATATATTTATATATGTATATATTCAGCAGTGTGCTTTATAGGGTTTCCCGGCATAAAGTGAATAAGTTTGAAAAGATCATCTACTTTTTAAGATTTCGAATTTCTTCAGACCTAACCATTTATGGTTTTCATGCAGCTGGAAAAAAGTATTCTCCGGAAACGATTTGCGTCATACATCCCACATCCACAAGGCTACCTGAAAACAGGTTTCAAGCAGTTTAGGTTTTAAGTCAATAACCCCATCCTTCGGATTGATCTCATCTTCCAGTCCACTGCACTTTGCCTGGATCGAAGCAAATTTCCGTTTGTTTCAGCCTCAAATAATTGACGAATTTCCTAATCTTTTTTTGAAAAATGGCTGCGGAAGTTCTTTGCAGAAGGAACGTGTAAGACATTTGTTGAAAGACATTTAATTAATTTATAACCAACCCATGAGGGTTATTACGAGTGCTTTATCGCTGATTGAACGGCTGTGTGTCTAACTTCATAAAGCCAACAAAACAGCATTTTATGTAAGATCACAAGAACATTCGATGTACCCAAAATTTAGGTTTTTCAGCAGTATATTTGTATTCGATATGTGCATTGAACCATACAAGCATAGATGTTTTGATGAAGACGAAGCAGTTGTCTACGATTCCGTCGTAAAGGTTTTCCACATCATTTGTCGAAATGGTTATGGAGGTTAGATTGGTAAATTTATCTCATCAGCACTCGTGAGGTTACACAAATCTATAAATGGTTACAAAAAACATATCAACCTTCAGAGATACTGCAAAACTTTGACTGTTTTACGAGAACATTGACACGAGCTGAAATGAGGCAATGTGAAGCTGAGATGATTGCGAATATTGGAAAAATACCCGATGTAACATCTGTCGACAAAAAAGCGCGACAAGCTGCTATTTGTGGGCAAGTTTCCTTTTTGTACTTCAACGACACAACAGTTTCTAATGTTGCGTTAGGTTCGTTCCTCAATTGTGCACTATTCGTTTAATATTAAATGGCCTAACCACCTTCGGTTCGAAGTGGCTGCTTCACCATTTTGCGATTTCAAAAACTAGAAAGCATAATGGACGATTTGAACTACGACCACTAGCTCAGCTTTACTTGTTCTTCAGGTTCGATGTTCGAGCCTGTTTTATAGCAAGACATAGCATGTCAAGCTATGATTTTTATTAAAAACCGACTTTCATTGGACTTCGGTAACAATAATCAGTAATATTTCTTAAATTATTGCGGTGGTACGATGTTGGTATCAGTTTTATTGGGCTAACGCTTCGCAGTTTTGACTTTCCCGGTGCGGCGTTGATCCGAGTCGATTGTTCCCAGGTTTGTCGCTAACATGATGTGGTTGTTCGGTATCGCATCGAACTTTTAAACCAATCCCATGTCAGCTCAGTCATGTAGGAAAATCATTTCTTGTTCTATTTTTGCCGTCAAGAAAAGAATAATAAACGTGTATGGCAACAATTGCCGAAAAGGAAATGAATGATTTCAATTCGTGTAGGCCGATATTCCACCCCTTCTTGTGCCTCTTGAATTACATCATTGCACATCAACAACAAATGGAAGCACTTTAGTATGCAAATTCGAAAAAAAACCATATCAGAAAATAAACTATCCCTGATATCCAACAACAATGATGCTGAGATATTTGCAAAAGGCTTCAGGTCGGACCGAGCTTACGGTTACCTCTTCCCTGGGCTCACGCGTTACCCACTGCCTCACTGATGCCCATGTTTTGCCTCTCTTTCGGCCATTTTCTTTCCTCTGTTGGCATCATCAGCATTCATCCGCCAACGGGAACGATCTGGGTGGCTCAAATTTGTACTGATCCCAGTTGGACTAAGGCTGTAGTCGAAATCACAATGTATAACTTCTTGTTCAGTGCCTATTATGTTTCAATAGTAGAATGCAGCCGTCTCAGCCTAAATAGATTTAATGGCCATTTGTACTTCTCAGATTATTCCTGCTGATGAGTAATTGCTGATGGTACCATTTGGGTAAAATATTGGATGAGAGAAAAACAGAGCAAGAACCTCAGCGGTGCAGTCGGTAACACGTGAGGCTACAGAAGGGTAATCCTGGGTTCGAATCTGGGCTGCGGCCGAAGGGTTGCAAATATCTCAGCACTATTGTGATTGTATTTCACGTAATGTTCTGCCATGAAAAGTAGTAGGCAGTTAACAAGAAGTTAAACGGGCACTAACACTGTTAAATGACTTTCTACAGGAAACTGACTTGCTTTTTCTTTCTTTCTTTTTTGGATTGCGCCTTTCGCATGAAATTTGATGTTTAGAACAATGCAAAATTACATTGATTGTATTCGGTATCCAGTGCGGTATGAATGCGGGTACAGAACATGGATTGTGGTTCGCGAAATCATGGTTGGACCAGTACGAGTACTCCTTCCTCAATGTGGCTTCAGCACATCATCTACTCACTGGCATGTATCCACATTTATTTATTCGTTGTTCGTATTATATTTTAAATCGTAGTGAAATTCGTGTAACGGTGTCTTATGTGATAAATCGTTAAAACTGTTCAGTGTTGATCAATCGCTGAAGAATGAGCAATGGATCCGAGTCCATTCGTAAATATTACTGAAAAGTTCGATTATTAAATGGCTTTGGGTAGTACACCCTGTACCAACGCAGTGTTTCTATCCTATCAGAAAAGCCTAGTGATGATTTGTCAACCTCGTAAAGAGTGTTTAGCTTGGTCAGACAATGCTTTAGGATCGAACCAATAACCAAGTGTCTACTGCAAGCCATCTTTACCACTATGCTACACGTACGTTCTTTCGTAGTGAAGGCAAGTCAATAACATATAAGCATTTCCTAATCATTCATACTGGCAATTCATTACTGTACTTTTGCTATTGGTGGAGTATTCAGGCAAAAATACCCCTGAACATATTTATTTGGAAACATAATTCAAAAATATCAAAAAATGACGATAAATCCTAAGAAAGTGAATGGTGAACTATGAGAAATGCAACGGTACCTCGACTTTCAATGGAGTCGTGTTAAAGTCAGAAATAATCGCAGAACATTCACCACTATTTGCCAAAACCCGAAATAATGCAAAACATACTATCTGTCCTGTCTATAGACAATCGACAATAAAATGCACGAGAATGTGAAGAGAATGAAAGTTCAAAGAAGATTTTCTTCGAAAACCAGTTACAATGGAGACTTTCGGTGTTAAAAAGACGGAATTTTGTTGAATAGGTGTAAAATTTGCTACTTGGTGTGTCTCTTAACCGCGGTTGTCAAAGTAAATAGGTTCGAATTATAATTATATTATAGTTCTTAAACAACAGTCGACGAATGTTGGTTCAGAAGTTTAAGCCAAGAAAAAAAAACGTTATGACTCCCTCTCAGGTACTTTTCACTAATTTTGATAAAATATCCGTGATTTCTTCTTGAAGTGTTACAGAATAAAGGAATGCTTCGAAACTGTCTAAACACTACCATAGCGATGTTGAGATATTAACAAAACTCGGACCCTCAACTGGGCTTTAAACGCTTGATTATCTTTATCGGTGGCTCACGTATTATCCACTGCGCCAATCGAGACTCTTGCTTTCCATTTCTCTCACGCAGTTTTTTACTCTATCAGTGCCATCAGTAATCACCTTTAAATATGCTGATAGCATTGATGGCTTAAAAAATTAACCGAGGGAAACACAAAGCCACAGCTTCGTTCGGTGTGCTGGATAGCACGTAAGCCAAAGCTAAGGAAAGGGCAATCGCTAGTTCCAAGCTTCCCTGAAGTTTCAAGTTTTACTCAAATCTCAGCATTCTTGTTGCTGTATTTCACATAGTATTCCCCACGAAAGAAAAAATAATAGGCAGTAAATAAAAGCTAAAACTGTCGAAATAATTGATCACTTTGCGCTCACGGATTTTTGAAAATTTGAACTTTTCTGCATTCAATATCGATAATATCGCAAGAGTTACAAAATAACAGTAGTTGCCGTTGATTACTATCCGTTAGCGAGTTTTCAGAGGTTATGAGTAAACTTGTATTAAAATCGTCTTGCACTACCATGATTATGACTATGGATATCCACCAAAAATGACCTTCATGCAATCAGCTAGTTATTTACACAAACTGACGAATTTTCTGGAATTTTAACAAATCTAATCAATAGCGACCAGAGGGGGTAGGAAGTAATTCTCTTCATTAAGTTATCAACCATCCGATTTTGGCATCAAAAACGAAAGGCGCTCATTGTTAGAGTATCGTAATATAAGTAGAGACACAATAGACTCTTAAACGTATCCTGAGAAGAAAACCATTTCAAAACAACGATGCAAACCGTGGAAATCCCAAATAGAAATGTTTTTTAAAATTTTTCTACTTTCCTAATGTTACTATATTTCTCATCAAGTTGAAGTAATTAGTAACAGAATGAAGCACTACGAACCAAGGATTATCACGTTAGACAATGCACCACAATCAATGCTGGCTTTCTCGAACCGGTCGACGTTTCTCAGTATATAATGTTGCCTAAAAAAAGACGAAAACATTGCATTTGTTAAAAGTGCATCAAAAAAGTAGATATTTAAGCGGAAAACTGATAGCTCGCCTTCCAAAACTATCCAGTGCAAGTGCTTCAGCTTCGCCGATAATGAAGAACTTATCGTCGACCATCGGAGGGGTAGCATTACAGCGTGGATTGCAATCACGAAGCCAGATATAAAGTTTATCTTAAAAGTTCCTCTTTAGCCGTAAAAACTCTTTTTGCATGTAAAAATACCTCAACGAGCAATCGCATGCGTACGAGTCGGCATTTGCACAAGCAATTGTAATAAATGCTCAAGTCACCAAAGCGCTGTGTAAGCTAATCGGGTTGAAACACTCGGAGTAAATTTGATGTATGGAATAAGAGCTTGCGCGAGTCATGTGGAATCCCATAAACTTCCGTTTAACTGATATTTTTCGCAAGGAATTCCTTTACTACAAAGTCTCTAAGGAGGGTGAGTAAGAACGCATGCTGGAAGTCATTGGTCATTCTAGATAGGAAAGAGGTTTATTTGATTATGACCTGACTTTGTGCAGGTTGGCAGAGGTCTTCATGGATCAGAGATCTGATTGCGCAGAATCCTTACCCAACAATACTAAGAAAATTGAATATTCTCTTGACAAATATTATCCTAATCTCACTTATTGCTTTGAGTTTTTGGAAGCTTTGAACGGACCTGTTATTCTCTGCTTAGCACCGCCCTGCTTCTCACGAACTTCCGTAGTTAGATGAAGGTAGAAGGAATTATCTACTAAAACACGTTTGAAGGCCAATACTCGTAGCAGAGCGCCTGGAACCACTTTTCAGAATAGGCACACCGACTGAGAGATAATGAAAAGTAGAGCGATTACCAAAAATGTCCTCCTTAAAAATACGAGTTTTAAGTTCTTTAGCATCGTCTCTGTTACATAAACCGCATTTCACGCCACAGCTTGACTCGGCACACGCACATGAACCTGAAAACTAGTGAACAGAGTGTATCTCTTATATGCACGAAGGTTTTTACGAAATAATTAGCACATAGTAAAAGAGAAAGCTAGCATTTCTGAGGCTTGTTACAGTACAAGTGTTACCACTGTTACCACACATAGTGGTCGTTCTATTTTGCAAATCACGCCGACTGGCTAATGATTTATCGAGAAGATATCGTTAAAAACGTTCATATCATCTGATTAACGATTTTCTGGCGTGTACAGTAGCGTCTTTGACCCTCCATGGTAATGCAGGCTAAAATTCTAGCCTCGCTCCAATAATTGTACAGAAGCGAATAACATCGTTTTCTCGATTAAGCGATCGCTGATGCTAACTTGCTAACAGAGGATATTGCCCAATTCTTTTTCGGCTCCACAGATCGAACCACTTTCCACCTTTTACATTCTGCGCATTCGTTAGAGCAAAGAAAGTGAATCTGGATATCGATGAAAGCGGAGTAGAGGTCGTAGTCGGACATTCTCTGCTGCCTGGCTGGAAACAGTGAGTGTTAAGGCCGAGAGCTGGGGAGCAGTCATCCCACTCGTGTGATTCATGTTCTTGCACACGAAGATGGTTTTCCAACTTTTGCAATTTTGGTCACAATTACTACTTTTTTCTCGTAAAGTACTCTTTTACAGACAAATATTGATAGCAATCAGCTTATCTTGGAGCTAAACGCTATAGCACTAATTCATGCTCGTGGATCCCTTCGAATCATTTTTATAGTTCTGTCATCCAATGTTTCCATTTGCGGTATGTTTGCAAAATTGGCAAAAAAAGTGAAAAACCTGTTCTCTGGCATTTTCGATTACGCTTCGTAAATTTTAATGTTTCTATCTCTTTTATGAGAAGCAGAAGCTTAAGCGAAAAAGGCTATAGTCTAATTCAGCGTAGAACTTCGGACAATAACATCAATTAATCGAAACATTCAATTAACGACGGTAAGTTTTGACTCATCACGGTATTCTCACCACCTCTCTCACTCAATTCGAATCTTTGGTTTCGTTTTGACAATGCGGTCTCAGGAATTATAAGTTGCTATAGATGACATTACTCAAGACGACGAACTCAGAGAGGCTCCCACCCTTACTTTTTAAAGGCAATTCATTATCAGTACCATTCGTCTGGCACCTTCTAGTCACAATATTGAACTTTGTTGGTCGATTCTACGTCCAGGATATAATCATATCCATACAAGTATACCTAAATCCGCCTATATATTCCTGGAAGCTCTAAGCTGATTCGTCACAGCGGAGACAAGGAGTTCAACACTAGAGAATGCATCACTCAGCCTCGTAAAAACTAAGTTGAATTCTTTATTAAGAAAAGGTCTGTGGATCATGAATTATACTGTAACTAAAGAATACTACTAAAGTAACTTCACATCAAATGAATACTACCCACTATTCAAACTAACCTCCTTGAAAGCAAACTGTGTCAATGGACTCATCAGGTATTCCTCGTTGATTTCGGGCTAAAAAAGTGTGCTTGTCTACTTCCTGTCCACTATTTGTCATTTCCCTCTTGGTACGTTGTCCACTATATTCCTGATCAGGATGCGAAATGAGAACAAACCCGATTATATCTGAAATATGAGCGGAAAAGGTGCTCCATGCGGAAGATAGGGTATAGAGAATTTTCTTTTTTGAAATTCTGAGATTTTGAAAACTCACTGCCCATTTATCTAAACGGTAAATGATGAGTTAATCTTGGCTCAGAACTCATTTTTATGCTTGTTTGGTCTACTTTACAAAATCTGACTATGAGAAGATGGGCAGAATCTCGTCGTCTTAAAACTCTGCCCTTGTAAGCTTTGTTTCATAACATAGTATATAGTAACTAAATTTTAACCTACCTTCTAAAGGATGACGTGCCATTACTGCGACTGGGGCCAAGTGGAGTGGTTCATGACTACGACTAGGTTCCGTAACACCAATATCGTAACATAGAGCTTCGTTACGGCAAAACCCATCGAGGACGAAATGCATCGCATAGGAAGAGGTGGTCGGAAGCGAGATGAATGATAAAGATGTAGAGTTCTAAAAAGTAACAACCTTTATATTAAAAAAATACATTTACTAGCTACGATTCATTTACGGGGATAAAAAGAGGATAGAGGAGCCGCTCTTAACGTATTGAAGCCATTATTACAGAATTAACTATTTAATTTACAAATCACTACGGTTAAGGTATACTCCTACATGGGTAGCGAAATAAGCTGACCAGCAGATTCATCTTCCAGCAGCACATCGAAGTTGTGAAGGAGTCCGACCTACCTATTCTGAAGCTCGGCGAATAGCAAACGCAGGTCCAGAAATCGCCAACAATCTTTTCAAGTGTTTTCCCATCTATTTCCGCGTAATCAATGCACAAGAAACCGCCGAAGGTAAGAAAACCAAAATTTGCCATTTTATACACTGGGAGATTATCAGCCATGGAAATAAAATCGAGATGTAAAATCTTTACGTCATAAACTCTATCATTATGATAGTTTTGTCGTCTTTACCGGCAACATAGGGCGTGTGTGGCGCAGTGGTCGGACGCAACCTGCGGCACACACATGACTCATCAAGCCTTCCATCCCTCCAGGATGGCGGCAAATTAGTACCAGAATTGTCTGAGAGGATGGCAGCACTGGCTCGACACATTAGTAGGCTACCGCGAGTTATTGTAATGGATAGGCATTCAGTTACATCCAACGATACTTAATGATGTCGTATGCGTGGCGCATTGCTCAGAGATTGATCAACGCCGAGTGCTTCATCCTTTATGATGAACATCCATCAATTACTCGTTACACTGATATAAAGAATATCTTATTATTAAGCCAGCTACCGTTAGCCTATAACAAAAGACTCAAAAAAGAACTTAATAGTAAATAGGAAACTATGGATGAAGCCCAACCTCGTACAATCTGGTAAGTGGAAAAAACCCTTTCAAACGAACAAATTTTAAGCCTCGAAATTACGAAGCTCTGTTGAGAGTGCTATTGCCTCTTGTAACAGCCTTTGCCACTGTTGAAACGAATACCATATTATCAGCTCATCGATCGATCAGGCAATCTACCATCGATGAAAATGATCAAGGAGACAATCCATCATCAGTAAAAGGTTTTCTGAACTGCTAATTATAAAACCATCAAAAAGCTACACTCCGTATTTATATCAGTCTTCCCCGAATTGAAAACTTAGAAAAGAACTAGTGCAATAAACTAAAATCGGTTTTATTCCGCTAATGTGCCGGCGCCTTCGCCTTTTTCAGAGCTGGATTATTTCCAGACTATTATTCACCTTCGTCGTCCTCGCCATGTGAGTCTTTGTAGTCGTTTGAGTCGAATCTTCTTGAGATGAGCACCACTCGAGTGACTTCACTACGCGGTTTTATTGTTTACATAACAGTTGTTGCCACTAATTATTTGCTGATAATCGCTTGTTTTTCTCCAGGCAATCCATCACTCAGCAGGTACCAGTATCAGTTAGCACAGAGCGCAACAACATTTCAAGAAAGATTAAAGGTAAGTCGGTTTTGGAAATATTGTTACGTACTGTGCTAGGTGATAATGATACCAACTGCTGCAGGATGCCTGTGGAGAAACAAGTGATTATCAGCGGACAATCAGCATCGACAACCGTTCTATTTAAAAAAAGACTTCCTACTAAGGCTACTACATTTGAACCGTGCTTCAGTCAAGAAGATTTGACTAGAAGGAAACCAAAACCCACAACGCGATGGCGAACGGGTGTGGACAATCGAGTCGGATCAAACCGGCTGTGAAGAAGGCGAAGTCGCCAAGACGATAGCTGAATAAAATTTTTTATCAACTTCGTGTTAGCTCATCAATGAAAGATACACGATGATTACTCATGCCGTGGTTAAAAGAAAGCCGATTTTTGAAACATTGAAGTCAAAAAACTTGTAATATACAGATATACGAACGAACGTATAGTGTTCCCTGATAATCATTCCCAACGAAAACAGTACTTGTACTATGTAAAATTTCGCCAGAACGTAGGTATGACAGTGTTAGATATACCATCCAATACGCGAAAAGTCCCGGTTCGACCCAGCAGCGAGCCATCCAAATCTCCAGACCACCTATCCCAATGGAGTTGAATAAATTGCCACAAGACTTCACCGCGAAGAACTCCCTCCGATCCACAAAGACAGCAAGTGTATGTGGCGAATACATGAAAAGACCTAATATGGGGTTTTTAGAGCACTTCGGACGGAATCGGGTTTACCCTCGTACAACGACACTCGCAATGAACACCAGTCCCTCGAAAAGTAGCCGAAACCACAAGGAAATGTGAAAACCTAGTGAATGATGGATGCAAAGAAACTAATCAAATAATGGAACTGCTGTGATCCACCCAATATGTTATCCAGAGTCGCGTTAAAAATACTTCCATATGGAACCGTCAGTGTAAAGATGCTTTCCAATGTTTCCTGCTGTACGACTTCCATAGCAAAGCTCAAAATCAAGTCCGAAAAAGACCTTACATTTTCAAAGGATTATTTTTAATATTTTCCCGCTGACGATTGCTGTGGCAAAGATCGATAGAAATAGGTGAGAGACAGGCGAAACAAAGGACCCGCATGGTGTGGTGGTGAACGCGTTACTCCCCGGAAAGGACAATAGCGCGTTCGTTCCCCACCATAGACACCTGCGGTCCAGAGTTTTGCAAATATCTCAGCAACGTTGTGGTTGTATTTCGCTTAGTACCCTGCCGCGAAATTATAGTAGGCAGAAAATAAAAAGGTATAACATTTTAGTATTTTGGTTATCACGGGCGCGTGTAGCGCAGTGGTCGGAGGCGCCAGACAGCACACACGTAGAATCGACTTCCTGCGCCCACGGCTCACTAAGCCTTCCATCCTTCCGAGGTCGGCAAATTAGTACCAGACTTGTCTGGCAGGATAGCAGCACAGGCTCGATACATCGGTAGGCCACCGCGAGTCATTGTAAAGGCCACGTATGCATTCAATCACCTCTAACGATGCTTAATGAAGTCGAATGCATGGCGCATCCCTCAGGGATTGATTAACTCCGAAAACTTTATCCTTCTATGCTAGTTGTTAGAACATAAAATACGGTATTGTTGCTAGGCTACGTACTGCCAGAGAACATTTTACCAAAGATGAAAAAAAACTAGACCTAAAATACAAGTGCAAATATATTATTATAGAAAAGAGTGCTGATGTGCCGGCTGACTTTCGCTCCAACTCATGTTGACTAAAGGAGACCGTTTGAAGATATGGACCCGTATTCTATTAGTATTCTTCGATCCGGAGTGAATGGGAGGACGAAAAAACAAATCCCACATATATCCGTTAAAAACTGTTCACTGAATATGGAAGGCTACTCCATTTCACTGAAAACGCATTGTATAGATAACGGCGATAAGAAGAAAGCTGCTTTCGGATCTCTCAGTGAAACTGTACACCAATAGCTGAGCGAAAATCCTCAGGCTCACATGTTTGACTCAAGAGCCAAGTTTTGCAACGCATCTGAGACGTGAGCTGATCTCTCAACCAGCTTGAAAACATCGTAAACCAGCCAGAGAACAGTTTACAAATATCCTGCGAAGAATAGACGGCACATTAAGAGAAAAACGTAAATGGGTTGGTCGTATAATAAATGATGCGCTCTCAAAGTACACAACTTATAAAGTGGGCAGTTGTTTCTCAATCCCTTATTGCCCTTCCAGCTGGATAACGATTATGGATTATAGGATGATTTTCGCAAAAATCTTATACGCAAAACAGTCCCCTCTATGAAGAGCGAATGCTAAGGAATGAAACAAATAGAAACTTTGCTGGAGTCCTATTTTTTCCCCATAACCCATCATCACATCTTCTGTAAAAATTTCATCATTTTCTGTACTCGATTCGTTTTTCTCGTATACATTGTCCAAAAATGTGTTCCCACATTTCGCGTGCAATTTCGGCTGTGCTTGAGGATTTCGTTTTCCTTATGAATGTTGTAGAACACTGGTCGAGTCGGTTATCTTTGCACTCTTGGAGGTAACCGGGCTAAGGCGTTCTCACGTGGACTAAGGACGGGCGTTGAGGAGGAAGGAACTAGCGCTTTAGCTTCCTGATCGACAGCATCACTAACCGCTGCATATTATGAACTGTGGTGATTGCTTCACTAATTAACTCGCATGCCACAAACGATGGGGAATAAAGAATAGTTTAATTCGCATAGATTTTTGTCTAATAAGAACTATGATTCATTGCTACTGATGCTCAAGTCCAAAAAGCAAAGAACTCACTGGAAGTATCGTGACACTAATTGGATTTGCTGTATATCCAGTGTAAAGACCATGAGTTATCTCGATTGTTTTCACCATAGGCGTCAGTACTCTAGAAAATCAATTGTAAACCACGTAGTTATCAAGTATTTGAAAACTGTGTTGCAACTTACCGAAGACAAACAGTTTGTCGAAGCGTCCCTCTAAACACACGTTGTTGCTCGACAGTGATTCGTACCGGATATGCATCATCTTGGCTAAGACCGCGCCTTGATCGCTGACGCTTTTGCGCCATGACGCGAATTCCAACCATCACTTTACCATGACCTTGGGTCTCGAAAGTCAAGTTGCGTACTTGTGTGGGTATCTAGCGTAGGAGTAGCAATTTAAGTAATATCCCGTTTTCATTCGTTAAGAAACTATTTGCTGAGAAATGAGAAGTCAGTCTGAATTAGTCAACGTCAGACAATGCATAGGAAGCTGCACAGGAATAATGAATACTAAAAAAAGCGAAAAAAAGGAGCTACATTGCTATTAAGCTACCAAAATCTACTAACAAGTATGAAACCGTAGTGAAACGTATGTTCTGGTGAAAGTGTACACGATAAGAACAACTGTTTTTTAACAACCATGGCGATGAGGCTATCCATAATTCTTATGCCGTCTGCTGCCGTATGAGAGGAATCGAAATCAGGATCTATTTTGATATTAAACAATGAACAACCACGTGTAACGCAGTGCAATTCACACGTTGTGGTCTCGGCAAGCCTTCGATCCTTACATAGCGCGGCAGTTTGGTACCGGGCTCGTCTAGGAGGATATCAGCACTGATTTATTACATCGATACGCTACCTGTCCGATAGCGACTTTTTTGACCTGGAAGGACGAGAGCCTTGCTCGATCCGAAACGGAGTTCAACCAGTACCTGGATGAACTGGGCTGTCAGCCAAGGAACGGCATCACTACCGCTGCAGTATCAGCTCTCGCTTTTATTTATTACATACTGAAACGCCCCAATATATGTAGCAGTCATACCGTTTTATTTACTGCCTACTCTTTTTTCTAATGGCAGGGTATACTGCGAAATATGACTTCAATGATGCTGAGATATCTGCAAAACACCAGACCGCAGGTGTCTGTGGTGGTGAACAACGCGCTATTGTTCTTTCCGATGGGTAACGCGTTCACCACCACACCATGCGAGTCTTTCGTTTCGCCCGTCTCCCACCGCAAACACCTTCGGTCCGGAGTTTTGGAAATATCTCAGCATCATTGAAGTTATATTTCGCAATATACCCTGCTATTAAAAAAAGAGTAGGCAGTAAATAAAACGGTTAAGATTGTGATTATAACTAAAGCCTTAGCTTAATTGGGTTCATTGCCGATTTGGACTACCTGGATCAATCGCGCTGACGGGTGATTGCTGATAGCAGAGATCGACAGAACTAGCTGAGAGACAGGCGAAACAAAGGACCCACATGATGTGGTGGTGAACACGTTACTCCTCGGGAAGGACAATAGCGCGTTCGCTCCCCACCACAGACACCTGCCGTCCCACGTTTTGCAGATATCTCAGCGTCAGTGAAGTTGTATATAGCAGTACTGGCAACTGAGTAACTCTGGTAGACACAGCTTGCGCGGATTTTTAGGTATCATTACTTTTCAACTGAAATACAGAACGTCTTTGTTGTCTGAGTTGATAACCATCATAATTGTAGCCTAATCAAAATGTTACCTGCTAAATGTTAAGTAATAAATGAATTCTTACATGGATTTCTGTGGCAGATTTCGTAACATTCACTACATATGGTGTTTCACAGGTGGGACATTGCATCGTAACCTTCAATTTGCTTGTGTTTTCGCCGATGACCACTTTACGAAAACGGTACTCGAATAATGCTCGTGTTGCAAAATACGTATCCTAAACATTTGTAGAATGGTGGACTCTCTATAAAATCAACAACAACAACAATAAACAACCGCACAATAGCGTTTTCAAAGGATCCATCTTCTAACTGTTGCTCATACAACCAATTTGCTAACGAATCCCAGTCGACGTTCCGCCCTTCAGCTCCTGCTGAAACGAATGCCAAAATCCCGAGAGAGTTCACTAACACGTCACCACTCTAGAAATGTCAAAGCTTACGACAAGTGCGAACGTCATATCAATCTTAGGAGTGTTTATTTTCTATGCAATAGTATTTACCTTCATTTTTCTTGCCTTGTTGGCATCATTGAAGCTTGTGGTCTTCGGCCTTATCGAAACTAGCGTCCGGCCAGCATTCCAGAAAGGTAATGTGCGACCTGCGTTGATAAATTGTAGTTTGAACTTTCTTGCATATATCTAGCAGTAGCTCATTCTATCAACAACGCCTTTGAAAATAAATGCATACTACGGTGATGCGCACAAGTCACAATGAACAGTTTATTATTATTTTTCTCGTTTTCTTTCAGCGAGCAAATATGATTGCCTTTGTTGATTTTATTCCGGGCTCTTAACTGCTCAGCTCTTGTTTGTTCAGCTTCCAGGAACTAACCCCTACTTCTGTTGTATGATCAAAATGCGAGACTTCCACTTCTTTTGTGTTTGCTCAGAGCATTCCTTTATTTACTTTTGAACTTTTAAAAAAATTATTGCTACCAACTATTCCTAAGCATTCTTCAAATGGCTTCCACTGGTACCTGAAAAACCTAGCATTGTATTTAGTATTTAAAAGCAGTTTTGGCAAGAAAAGAATACTACCTTTAAAACATGACCCGCCATCACATGCGTTTTGGGCACCTAGCAATCTTCCACTCAGTTCTTTTCCTCGAACCCACATTCCACAAGATATTTCTAATGTGCATGTGAGTTCGGCTACCGCTTAAGGATTTATGGTCTATGTATATGGTTAAATGTAGGTTGACTCGATTCTACCTATCAGAAAGTCGATCATCCGGCAGCCGTGTTAGTCTATTCCTAAACCTCATGGATATGAGGGAGCTTCGCAGACAAGTCTGATAGCTTTTACGACCTCAGCAACATGGAAAGCTTGGCGGACTTGGAACGGAGTTCGAGCTAGTAGAACTTTCCTTCTGCCGAACGGCATCACTACCACTGCGCTATTCGGGCTCCAAATAACTATTTCAATGGAGTAAGGTGTTTAAGAATGTTTAGCATGGAGGTAGCATTTGCTTCATGCACTTGAAGTTGTTCAATCATAAAAATATGAAGAAACTTAGGAGATTCGATAGCTCTTCTGAATTTACCATTCGCTATGTTAGCCATCCTGATTCGCATAATTTCACTAGTGGCATTTGTTCCCATGTACGCAATAGCGGCTAGCGATCGAATATCCCATCTCCATTCTTCATCAATCAAATAAAACGATGACACTAGTGCAAACCACGCTTCATCGTTTTTCTGAAACCATACACATGCTTCTTTATCTACTCATGGACGAAAAAACCATTTAATTTTTTACTTAAGGTATTGGTAAAGCATTATCTCTTTGTTTCAAATTCAGTTGAGAGTTGCAACTAAAGTGAAAAAAAAAGCAAACTTTCGACGTTCATCCCTCTTTACCTATGTATTTGGCCTGAACGCTGAATGGCACTGCCTCTTCAATATACGAAGGTAGAGCTTTTATCGTCCCAGTCAAGTCCACTAGCGATTTGCTAAATACGGTGGGATGACAGGATTGATACCCCTGGATGTACCGAACCAACGATCACTCATCTTGTATAGTGTAGAGCACCTCTTACTCTACTGTCGTACAGTGTCTCTTAATTTCAGAATTGTACCGTCATTTGTTGCCCCACCCATTCTAATAGACTAATACAAGGAGACGTCTAATAGTCCAACCAATGATTTTCTCTTTATTTTCTTTTCTTTTGGCCTAGCAAACTAAAACCTGTCGACTTACCACGCATTCGTAAGCAGCACAATCGCGAGACACTTGCAGTAAAAACGCCTTCAAGAACCATTCCTTGTCCATAAAATGCTCCTAAGAAACAAACCGATACGTGCACATTGCCAGCTAAACTTATTTTTCATCAAATGAGAAGCAAAAAATATATTTTCAGGATGTTATTTAGGTCATAATATGGGACGTTCTCATTAATACTTTATGTGAGCCTCTGACTTTTTTCTTTCCTCCTTCCTACTTTTCTTTGCGCTTCCCTGTAATTGCTTCTGAAGATGATCTCTTTGACTCCACGAGCATGCTCATTAGATCATGACATGACTGAAATTCAGGTGTTAGCAGAGTCGTGCGTGCGTGACGGACATATCTATGCAATCAATAGGTAACTTCCTTGGAATGCTTGTACACATTTGCGATCTATTTCCCAATCTTTTTGCGAAATTCGTCCAAATTTTGCATTCACCACGTATTTCTCATGAGTATGGGACCTCCTTAGTACTTCTGACTTATTGGAATCAGTTTGATACTAGGTAAATTCGCTCAACAGAAGAGAACATGCTGAGGTGATGTTTAGGAAAGTACACTCCTACGACTTCATAATGAAGTCTTATTTTCGCGATTAATGAGTATTGCATAAGACCTCGTGCATCTGCATTCCGTCCCTCGCCATAGAAATCGTGGTAAGAGTAGCTATATAAATCACTGTGTTATAAGGGTTAAGAGTAACCAAATAAAAATTATAAGGTCATGGTTCGTTATTTTCACGCAGTATTGTATTAAATATTTTAAACGAATTGCAATGATTTTTACCAAATCAATAATTTCATCAAGGCTGATATCCTCCTCTTTCCACTCCATAAGAATTGATTGCAACAGATATCTTAACCCTCCACATACAATCCTCTTGCTTGCTGCGGCTTCACAAAGCAATGATGTGACAAGGGCAGTGAGACTTAAATAAAAGAAAAGCTCGAATTAAATATTTCTTCCTGTCCTTATTATACGCACGCTATAGAACGTTCTCTTGGATTACGTGGACTTCCATATTCAGCATAACCACAAGCCAACTCATTTTTGCAGTCCGAGAAACGAAGCATATCAGATATCGCTGTAAATGTGATTGTATCGCAATAAAATTGCTGAATAGTTCCTGTAAATTGGACTTACACGCTCCAATCCTGTTTTTCAAAGCATCCACCACTTGTTGGTCCGCATTTTGTTTAGATTTCACTCTTTTGAATCGATACAAATCGACAGATAACGCTTTGAGTACGTCGGATAAGAAGGAGCGTTCGTAATCGGCGCTTCTTCCAGGTCGACTTACATCTCCTCTATTCACAGTATTCATCGAGAGAAATTCTGAACACATCACCGCCAATCGGCAATAGGTTGATACTTCCTAACAAATTTTTATTCCAGAAACCTCTAGAAAGAATACTTAGAATTGAATTCTAACCCCATTAAAAGCATATCATAGTCTAATTCGTGTAGGACGGTGGATTTAGTGAACCGTATTTATGACTAACTTGAAATGTCAATTGTAAAACTGTAGACGATCTCTGAGTTTGGAATATGCATATGCACATCGGTGACTAAAATGTCACCAGCAGGAAACGAGCGATATTCTCTTACATCTAGAAGAAGACAACCCATTATGAATGTAGTTAATGACAGCGCTATCTCGAAAATCCATAAATTTCCAGGTACTTAAAACCACTTGTGAAGTACGATAACTTACTAAATATATCAACAGATGCTACACTTGAGTCCACAGCATTGTTTAATATTGGAGTCAACGGTTTATTGGTATCAAGGATGATCATCTTGTAAAGTTCTTCGGTCTCGACACGTTTCTTTAACAAATGTGAGTTCTACTTGAAGCCAGATGTATCGAATAAGAACAAGAAATATATTTGGACTCTTAAACTCACCAAAACTTGAATTTTTTGTTTCACTATGTCACGGATTTCACCAACGCTGCAGTGATGTTTTCCAGGAAAGGATGCTTCCCTAAAATCGAAATAATTCAACGTAGTTAATAATAAATGTTATATTCATGGCTGAGGTTTCACAGCACTGAGTTTTACACCTGCTTCCAGAAAATTATTAATGGCTTTTAGTGAATACTGTGGAGACCCTTTACGTCATAGAAAACGCTCTCTATCTCTTTATGGTGCAACACAATTACTACGTTATTACTAAACTATACTGTACAGATCGACTGTGCAAAATCAAGATTATAGTTGATTATGCCATGCCCTTTATCGTCTCATTTCTCAACTAACCACTAGTCGCGTTAGTTATCCTATTATAATTTGTCAATCGATCTCGTAAGACCATCCTGCAGTACGTGAATGATGTCCACATCCATTTTAAAACAGTATATAGGGATTACTAGTCAGCTCTAAAGCCATTTTTCGCCCCTTCTCCAACACGACTTCCTCGTTCTCTCGGTTTCATTGTATTTGTATCAATAATTTTCCTCCACTCCACATAATCAATCCAGCCTCTTTATAGCAATTTCGCCATTGGCACATTGTTTATACGTAGGGGTGTATAATGGCTTAATCATCCAACTTTAAGGTTCGTATTGCCAATAAAATTCCTGCATGATAAGAAGACAAGCATCCTCCACGGAATTAACCGCTTAAATGCACTACTTACTTGTTTATTTATTGATACGATCTCACATCACATTTTAACTCACTTATTCGATCTATATTCTTGCACCCATTAACCTAGACGCTCTTTGGATTCCTCTGTGATATAGGTTGTTACTTGAGCTTTTCCTTATGCGAGATCCTGGCCGAAATGCCTCACTACTGGAGTTCAGAATTAGATAATTATGCTAGAACGTTTTTCAGACCTTCACCACAGTTACAAACCAAAGTTTCAGTGATGAGTTTTTCCCAAGCAGTTATGGTACAATTAAGGGTGATAGGATGATTCAGTACGGAGTTAAACCACTGCCTATGCATATATTATTGCACGACACCTATAACCACTACGCTTTTCGTGCCAGATCATAAAATAACTGTTCAGTAGATGCTGCAAATACTTACTCTCTGACAATGAAAGTTATGGATGTGGTTCCAATGTCAAGAAATCGTATCGCAAACGTCTTAGTGTCTGTTGGTTGCGATGGCGCCACAATGACACGAGAATATCCAGGCTTTCCAAGTTGACCAAATGATCCCAGATCAGCGCACATTTTACGTGACATTTCAGATAGACAAACAGTATACTGAAATCAATGACCACTACGCTTTAATAAGCCACCTACCTGAAATAAAAACTTGCCGCCGTGGGGGATTTATTTTAGCTTACGACTGCAACTCTGCGTAACGCTTCAAAGAAATTCCACTATCGCTTTATTAAAAAAAAAAGAAAAAAAGATAGACAGTGATGATATGGAAGATCTCACTTATGTAAAATTGTTTCTAAGTATCAGCTGCTGTTTTACATATTACCTTAACTTCTCTAGTAGGATTTAGTGCTGTGACGGAAACCTTCGCACTGATCGTTTCATTGAGGTAGACGGATTTCGGCAAATCGATCTGTAGATGTAAAAATAACTCGTCCTTTTGTTCCATTATTAGAATTGCAATTAAACAATAAAAACTTGAAAGGTCTGATAAGTACTAAACAATACTTTCATAGCAATGAAAAATGGATGAATAACACATCAATCAGCACCCCTTTCATTCATCAGACAGCAGCTCGGTGACACTCCACTAAAGCCGCCATTTGGCCTAGTCGCATGGCGAACATTCCATTCTCTCGTGGCGCACGAAAAACTTCATATTTCTAGTTCACAGCTTTCACGAGAAAGCCGGACTTTTCGGTTGATGGATGTTCTACTCCTCATTAAAAAGATATGGCTTAAGTAACTTCTGCCGTTTCTCAGACATGTAGTGACGTGGAACTCCGAATTCTCTCCTATCGTGTTAAGGCAGCCGCTTCACTTATCATCTTCTCGACAGCTCGTTCAAGAACGTAGAACGTACTTTAATCCAGCAGTCCAAATTTAGCACATACTAATTAGGAATGACTAAGAAGTCCTAAGGCAAGTGGTGGTGAAGACGTGTGTTCGCTGCCATCTTTATTACTTCCACAATGCTCTTGAAAATTTTTCCATCCGCTCGCTCCCTCTTGCTAATCCCAAGAACTATCTCGTTTAATACATAATGAACAAATGAACACCGTTGGACCACTCAGAGGTATTCGTTCTACAAAGGTTATGTGAAGATTGGCGAACCTTTGATATGAACATCGTCCTCATTGAATCAAGCTGCAGTTCTATCCACGCATATATACCTTCAAAACTACCTCACCTTAAACAATCAGGTCGTCAATTAAGGACTCCAATGCTAGCATGTAAGCGCGATTTTGATGCCATCATATCACCTTCAGATTTAAGCAGTCTTTCTGTTCTTCTCTTTCACAACACTCCTGTACTGAGAGCTCTTTCTGGCTAAGGACATGATTTATTTCCTCACTATGCGTACGACACAGATTCAACCGTATTAAGTTTCTGGTATAATAACAGCAACAAAAATTCATAACTGTAAAAAAAAACGAGACTTGCTGACTAACAATCTGACGTACCTTCAAGAAAACGTCTTTCTTTGATACAATGTCAACACGACGAGCCGCACAAAGTTCTCGTTGCCCAGGAGCCCAGAAAATGGAAGAAATGCTCCATCTTCCTACTGTGTCAGGTGCTTCAACAGTTTTCGAAGCTGTTCCCGATGGTCTAAGCAACTATTAATAAACGATATGTATTCTTTCTTGATAAGCTTACACGAGGTTGATAAATATATTTATTTTCGGCTTCTAAACCTCGGTGTGATTAATCAATATGTATTCTTTCTTGATAAGCTTACACGAGGTTGATAAATATATTTATTTTCGGCTTAGGGAAGGTCGGTTTCGAAATATTAATAAACGGTTTGTTTTTGAGATCTGGTATAGATAATTTAAGATGCAATCTTAATTCTATGATTTTGAACATCTGTGTTTCTTCGAAAATCAATTGCGAATTTCCATAATTGTCATCTACTGCTTATAGTATGTGTTATGGTGTACTTGATTTAGTGATAACATACGATAAAGTAAAAAATACGAATTTGAATGGTTAAAGAGATCAAATCTTCATCATAACAGTCGATTAGACTACTAGGTTATATGTGTAATAGACACATTAACATATGCACAAATGCATATCTCGCACAGCTTATTCCGAAATAGTAGTAGTTTTTAAGTCAAAAAATCAACAGAATTTCGGGATTCTCCTACAAATCGAGGCAATACAGAATTCACTTACCCAAGTAGAACAGCATCAAATAACCACACTTCATGGAAGTACTGACGAACGCCAAGTTCATTCTGCTCAGCGACTAGGGCAGTTTCACTTTAGTAGGAAAAAACACACGATTCGTTCAAATTTCACGGAAAGTGTTGCAATAGAACTATTTTGAAAATTTTGTAGAAAACTCACAGAGATTGGTGCGTTGAATCCTGGGAAATCCGGTGAGTATGTTCTAATGGAGTCCGTGCCATGAAAGGTATCGTTTTCTCCTGTGACATGTTACATTCTCGAGGATTTTTCTTATCGCATGCGTTGGAGACGGCCACTAGTAATATTTATACAACTCAGTCATAGAATTTAAACCGTAAAGGGAGAAATGTTGATTAAGCCCAGTATCATGCACATCACTTCTTTCATGATATCGTAGAAGTGATTAAATGCATATTTGGCTAACACACCGACATAGAGGCGCATAGCTCTGCATCAAGTCAATTAGACCTTCACAGACTATTTTGTTACCAATTTCCTGACACTGGAATGATAAAGGTCTTGCTTCGGTAGAGACGTGAGATCGAAGAAGAAAGTATGTGTGCATTGCAAGGCACTCGCAATCCCTGCTTCTTAAGCTACCATGATAAGCGAAAGACCAACACCGAACGTTTTGTCCACCATAATGGTATTTCAATTCCACAAATCTAGTCCAAAACTTGGTGTTTTCAGAGCAGTCGAATCACAAATAATTTAAAACCTTTAAAAAACCATAGTTGTTGTCTTTCAACTGACCTATTCGTTCCACTGGGGCTAAACATTCAGATATCATCACGTTCAAGCAAAAGTTTGAGACTTCTGAAAGTGAGCCGGCGGCATGAGGACACATACCAAACAACTTGAAATACACACTGGCGGCAGACGAACAGCTTTGTTCTCAAATGTCTACATTTATTATTAGGCCCTAGTTATTCCTTTTTAAAGCTTTTTTCAGATAACTTCAAACATCTTAGGATTCAAAGTGAACGAGAAACAAAATAAGTAGTTACTTCCACAACAAAAATTACGTTAGCTGACGTTATTAGCGAAATTCACTTTAAAATATGCCGTAGCATAGTACACACCTATCGTTCTTGTTACTTCGTCGAACATAACGAAATTGTTCAGCTTCGCCTGCATGTTTCCGAAATGAGTTTGATGAAAAATGAGAAAGTCCCATGATTGCAGTTTTGTTACGTCTTCTCCCTGTAGAATACCCTAATTGTTACATAGGACTGAACGCACAAACTCTGTAAGTTGGCCATTCCTTTTAGTCATTTCGCTTTCAAAACACTTTCTCTGTTAAGTAGGAATTTTAACCACTGTCGCTCTTCTTAAGATTATCGTTTACAAATATTAGAAATCTCTCTTTAGGTAGAGCTAGAGGTAGCATTTAACTTGATGGTCATTCAAGCCTTCGGATAATTCAGAGTGCGTCCACTAGTTGGAGAAGTGTCACCGAAAAGTGATCATTTACCCGTTTTCATTTTTCATCTTACTCATGCTTAATCTTAGGAACGACTAATATCCGAAATTTTGCGTCATGGTTTGAATCAATAATTCGTCCTAATTACTTTGAGACTTGAATGATCACATTTCATCAGAAATTGTGGGAAATCGGGAACAAGCACAGTTGTCTTATATGACACTCCCTAGAGGTTAAGTGTTAAAGTTTGCCTAAGTCAGCATAGCAACCAATAGCAGTCTCCGTAACTCGGATATTTGCCAAATGCTGATTGGAGCACTTCCATAAAGACGGCAAAAATGGTGTTCTAGCACAGATAGGTACTGAGACCTTCATTTACTCATGTTTCAGCTACACTAGCTATCGAGCTCTCATAACTTCACACAATCCCACATACTCAATAATCTATGCGCAATAACCCTTAAATTTTGGTGAAAGAAGATAACGAAAAATAGAACTTTAGATCGTTCGAGTGTGCTTAAGGTCGATGTAGTGGTTGTCTCACCGTTGTAAACGTATTCAAACGATCATCAATTGCCCGAACTAGTGCTATTCCATGAGGCTGACCATTTAAAGTTAGTGTAACTGATGCTCCGGGCTTAATAGAATCTGATGTAGAAAGAAGGGAAACCTGTAATATACCATATCGCAGTATTTTTGTTAAGATTCCTCCATTTTAGTTTCAAAATATCTTCGTGTATGTACTGAAATCATTGAAGAAACTACCATTCTACTTATTCTTTTGACCATTAAAATAATACCTGGCACTGCTCTACCACATTGAATTGGATCATATCAGTAGCTCGCCTCGTGTCTGTTGAGTGAACAAATAAAACACATCGGCCAATCATAACTCGTGTTATTATTATCGTTAGTGATCCATCTTCCTTGAATCGTCCACTTGCCGGCATTGAGTATGAGTTGCATATTATCTATAAAGAATGTCTTTTGATCGAGAAAAACTAATGGTCACAAATGAGCACTTGTTCAAGCTTAAGCCTCTAATTTAACAGAGGTCGGAAGTGAATAAGATGGTTGTGAGCGGCTTACTCACTCAAAAGTGCTGGTGAAAATACATTGAGACACGAAATCATTTTTATAGGCTTTTAATTAATATTTGAAACAGTCGAACCCGCGTTCACATTCAACGCCTTTTTAAATATGAAATGGATCCGCCCGGCTAGTGTTTCATATTCTACAATTACGTTAGTACTATGCATACATCCACTTGATTTCCGAGTGGAGTAGCTGGTTATTTTCATTTATCATTAAGAGTACTAGTGCTTTACTGCTTCTGGCATTTGCAAAATAAAGGTGCCGACGAAGAAGGGCGATTTCTTATCTGATGAGGGCGACAACACAAAACGTCGGTGTACTAATAAAATTTTAAGTTCAATTTTCAAAATATCTCCCTCAACGAGATAACCAGTTGGACCCACTACTTACTTGCTGTCTTCCTGCTGTCTCCTTTTGAAGTTCAAGCGAGCATGTGAAAATTTTAAAAAATGCTGGTTACCTTCAGAAATGCTTTTCTAACTGTCACCTCAAAATATATTTGCATTCTTAGCCTGTAAGAAATTACTTCGTTTCGTAGAGCGCCTGAGAGATCGGTTACAAGAGCATGATATTGTCAGCATTCTACCTCGATATTTCTCAATTCAGCAAATGAAGATAATTATGAGTGAAAGTAGTCTATAAGATTTTCTTAAAAAAGAAAATAATGCAGTGTTAAAAATTCCTACGCACAATGTAACTTAGAGCGTTAGCTTTGTTTCTTGGTACCATGACCTGTAGACGTTCACCAACAGAATAGGAGGCTTGAATCGGGAAAAGCTCAATCCAGGACAGTTCCACTGATTTCACTCCTGAGATCCTTGGCAGCATCAATGACTTCTTTCGAGATTTCAGCAGCCCTACCTGATGACTAGCCTAAAAATTCCAGGAAATTATAACTAAACTTGTTAGTAACAACCAAATAGAATATACAAGCGCTATGATTGGTCCGTTTAGTGCATCTACAATATCGGAGCAGTTTTCTCAAGCATGGATCACTGCGCTTCCTTGGAAGTCACATCAAGTTTCAAGTATTCGCTCTTTAGGCGATAAAGAGCAAGAAAACCGATGTGCGCCGTGAGAATAAGGGGAGCCTTCTTTTCCACGGAGAGAGAATGCCGGTACAAAATATCGCATCACTAATAAGAAGAATAAAGAGGTTTTCGGCCAGAAATTGAAAATGACTAGTGGTACCGCTTTTTAACCACCGTTCCTCGAAAAGAGAGAAATCCTACGACGAAATGCAACCAAACCTCGCAGAGCTTGTGATAACGACACCTATGGAAGGTCCTTGCAGAAGGGCACATTTTCATCATACGTCCCTCCTTTCTTTCCCAGGTCACCGAGCCACTGTTTGGATTCATCCTTCTCGCATGCGGAAGGTTTCAAAAGTTTTGTTAACGCTCGAAGATCACGAGACATGATATTCTCCTATGAGAACTTCATGAACATGCGTGATTGCCGGGATCGCTAGTCTTTCATTGTGCACCTGACATTCGTGGAATACATTTACTGGCGATGTGACTACGATAGCTGTCGTTGAGACCAATAATGTGTTCGATCCACCTGATTTACGATGTCTTGTTTTACGTGGTCAGCACAATGCACCAATCTTCGATAGTCGAGGTATTTCCGGTCTCTGAATTTCTTCTCTCGATTGCATGAATTAGGATCTCTTTCTGTCGCTCTCACCATTTCTATAGCGTAATCTATGGCGCAGATGTAGTTTACTCCAACACTACGAAATGTTCTAAGATGGAAATAGGGAGCTAAAAACTAAAAACTGCTAACTGAACTGCTAACTAACTAAACTTTCACTCACTTCTATCACTATTGTATGACAGATATTCCAATTTGGAGGTCTCACAAAGCTTAGCACATCTCCAACTGTAGTTTTCACTTGAACAGCTGGGCGGATCACGTCGCCCAAGCACTCAAAATTTATATCTAGTTCCGCTCCAGTAGGAGTTGAAACAGATTGGATCTGAAACAAAGAGAAAGTAGTTTTTATCTATTTTAAAGTCAATAGTGACATTATTCCTTTTTCATAAGCGTTGTCTTTTTATCTTCATAAAACTGCTCTAAATTACTAAACTAAATTAGCTACTATGAAATACTCGAAATCAATGAGAAAGAACTGAAACCGCAACAGAGCGCTATCAATCAGTGTTGACAGGTCCTAGTTAAGTCTGATGAAGCACAAAAGCACCAGTGTTCGGCTTTACTTCTTCTTTAATTATTCGCTATGCGTCAAACTCACTCATAACTTGAGTAGAGGTGAATAAATGCATGTTTGGCCTATACAAATACTTGCAAGGCCTATCCTATATTAATTCAGAGTTTTTGGCGTCGCACACAAGTATGCAACAATTTCTCGACACCGAACTCTGGGGTACCTTGTTAACGCGGAAGTGAACCAGTATCCCTTAATGCACTGAACGACACACTACTCCACGCCCTTCTAAGAGCCATATTATCTACTACTATCTGCGTGCAAGGTTAGTCTATTCTATCACTGGGTAGAAAAACTCAAAAATGCCTCACCATGAATAAAATGTGTTTAGTTTTATCGCTGAAAGCTGGCCTCATTGGTATGATCTCGAATCCTGGCATAAGTGGGTCGAAAGTGACAATTGTTTCACTACGATCACCAGTACCACGATCACGTATCTGTACCAAGATCGATATAGCTTTGCGTTTGTCGTCCACAAAGCATTTTGATATATCTACGTTGTCGCTCCATAAACCGTCGGCGATCTAAAAATTAAAGAATATGAACGCAAAAAATCGCATGTCTGTGGTATTATCAGTAAACTCGTAAACTCGCTACTCTATTAAATGTAAGTTTTACCCGATTGTCCATTTACCTTATAACTTGTCACTCGTCTCATTTTTAAAGCCTATCTCAGTGTTTACTCTACTTACGTTCCGCTGTAATGAACCACTTCGCTTGACATTTTTATTTTGTTGATCCCATTTATATAGGAGAAAAACTGAAAAAAACAGGAAAACAATGGGAATTTCCCACTACTTAAAAAAGCTCAGGTGGAAAGCACTGGTAGCGACAGGCAATGTAAAGGTTTCATCTGGCCGGAAAACACGAGGAACGAAATTGGTTTCGAACAATGGACGACCCATAGTCATCTACGATGACCATTTAAAATCATTAACATAAGCAAACCCTTCAATATTGCTTATATATATGGAAATTGCGCAAGAATTAAGCTTTCAACAGGTAATAGCGTCCGAACACCCTAACCAAAACAGGAAGTTAAAAAATCAAACATGCACGACCATATAGTAAGATAAAGTAACTGCAGTGTACTTCTCATCTTGTGTTCGTTTGAGAAGTAAGAAGTAAAAAAAAGTACAAAACAACTTCGAGAAAACTCATCTCAGACTGAACGAGAAGTGTTCGTTTCATCGACGACGTATGAAGGTCGTGAACATTGCAGTAGAGTAACATGGATCCAAACAATGGAGTTCCGAAGTAGTTTCTTGAAGAATTCGTTTAAAGAACAAGGAAAATCAATTTTAAATAGGCCAAACAAATACCTCACCTTGCCTCTACGCTTACTTCAGTTGAATTAAGTAGTTGTCCACTGGCAATGGACGCGAATATTTTAAACGGTGGCAGCGCTGTAATAAATCTCCAAACCGACGGAAAAAATTTTTTGACAACTCACTTTGTAATCAACGAGTGAAAACTTTAAACAACTACCAATGAAATATGAGCAAGTTTATAGCAATCCACTCGGCCAGACGCCTCCATAACCAAACAAAGAAACTCCAAACCAAGATTTCAATCACTTTGAACACAGCTTTGCATACTCACCGCTTTCTTTGAGGTTTCCACTAAGTATGTCACGTAGAGACCAACCGCACAGAAATCACGTGGAAGTATAATGTGCTCCTCACATCAGAAAAGCAGTTTTATATACTGCCCTATATCACGCGTGATAATGAGGCATTCTTCCCTGCGGTTCATTTTCGGATTTCTGGAATTAATCCAGAGTGCCTCGAGAGTTTTTCGCGCCTGTGTTCT